ACATGCAGTCCCACGCAGGTAAGCTGGGCACTTCGACTCGCTTAAAGCGGAGAATTAAATTCTGCGCTGATGCCTGATGTTGACCCCGTTGTGTGTCAATAGAGCTTTCTGTGCTCACCGTTTCCAAAGCCCCACTAATTTCACCTGCAGCAAAAATAAAAAGATCCTCAAAGGCTGGAGCACGTAGCAGTGGCTGAGGGTATAGCAGAAATGTTACTCCTTTCATAGGAAGAGAGGAGACGTGCCATGCTAGCACAGAGCACATCGAACTACTCATTCCCTTTATCCAGAGGTATCTAGGGAGTACTCGGTGCATAAGCTTTGTTGGGTCACTCCTACAGCAGATTAAATCCCTCCTCCTGCAAAAGGCGTAGATCTCATTGAAGCAAACAAAGCAAAAAGGCTTGCAGGGCAGCAGAGCCTTTGCCTCCACCAGTCCTTTTCCGTGCTTGTGTCTCCTGGAGTCCTGCAAAGGACTGAGATGTCTTCTCAGAAGAATTTGCCAGTTCATCAGTTGTGTTCATTTCCTGCTCAGCTGTCTACAAAGGAAAATCCCGAGTAGTTCCACTACTTTGCTTCTAAGCCACCTTTTTTGTTTTCTATCTCGGTTCGTAAGAGATGTTTTTAAAACTTCAAAGCCGAAGCTGTTTCAAAGACAGCATTCAGAATATTAAAAAATGGGGGGGAAAAGGATTTTTTTAATATTGGCAGAATTTTTTTCTTCTATTTTTTTTTTCCTCTTGACTGAAAATTCGAGTGAATTAACACAGGTTTACAACTAAATTCACCTTAGGCAGACTTGTGCTCCCCGACACACAGCTGCTCTGCTGAGATTCACGTTCAGTGCTTGCGTTTGCCCTCACTCTGCAGGTGAGCCCTGAGTAGAGAGGCACGGAAGGGCAGGTGGCTTGAGGATATGCATATTTTCCATTCTGAAACAGTAATTCTAATCAAAGTTCTTATCCTGTTCTGTGGTTTAGTTTTAGTCCTTATTTTCATGAGTGTCCCTTGAGTTCATCCATTGCGGTTCCTCGGTTCCAGTTCAGTTCTCATGGGCGAATCTTAGTGCAGGCTTTGTGTGTTGTTCAGCAGCTGCTTTATTGCTCATCTTTGTGATGTTATTAATACATGTTGATTAATTAATAGATATTGATGAATAGGGTGCTTTGTTACAAGGTGGTATGAGCTTTGTGGATGTTACTTTCTGTTAGAGAAGTGGTTGATGTGGAGTAACTGGGCTTCACGTTACACCGAGGAGCGGTGAAGCCCTGCTCAGGGTAGTGGCTGCCATCACTCTGTGGTGCTGGGGTCTGCTCTTGCTGCTTGTCCATGGCAATCTCTGCTTGTCTCCAAGCTGCGTCCTGACCATCCCGTTCTTGCTGTGGTACTGAAATGCCGCATTTTGAGTTACAGCTCTTGGTGACACTGAGTAGAGGAGCTGCAAAGGAGGGACCCAGGCTGAGGTGTCAAAGGGGAGGATGGCCACTCACTGTTGGAAATTTTAAGCTAGTGCTGTCTGCAGCTTCATCCTTCTCTATTCTTTATGAATGACCCATGGCCTCTGGGTTTGTTCACCTCGGTTACTTTGGATGCAGAACAGGGCTGGAGGAAGCAGGTATCCGTGATCTGACTCATGTAACGTCAGCTGAGATCCCCTCTCTCCAACTCAGGATTACTCCTGTTAAGCTCTGTGTTTTCTCACCTCTCCCTGCTCTGTAAGTCGCTGTCCTCTGCTTGGCTGCCTCCCCCAGTGTCTCACTGGTACAGTGACAGCAGGCTTGTCCGTGTCTTCTTGCAGGGCTTTCTCCAGGCCTCAGCGAGGCTGCCCGCTGTGAAAGCAGCCGTGTGGGGCTGGGACTTCTCTGCACAGAGCTTGTCGGTCCTGTGCTCTGCCTCTTCCTCTGGAGGCCACAGCAGCCCTTCCTCCAGATCTGTGCGGGGCGGGATGAGGGCAAAACAAAATGAGGAGGTGTGAAAGCCACAGCCAGCTTTGGTGCGTGTCCAGTTCTGGGTGTTGGACTTCAGCAGAGACACAGTGGAGATTGCACAGGACTTGCAGTTTCCCTGGTCATAGTTTGTTGGCTTTTAGTCTCTCAGAGCTTGAGGATTTCCATAGCCAAGAAACAGCGTTGGCACAGCATTTCTGAAGTCTGGGGGTCTGCAGTGCAGTAGTCAGCAGAACTGGTGGCGTAGAACCCACATACTGGGAACACTGGCATCGTAGCCGTTCATACCAGTCTGTATGCCTGGCTCAAGGAATGTTTCATTATCACAGAATCACAGAATATCAGGAGTTGGAAGGGACCTCGAAAGATCATCCAGTCCAACCCCTGCCAGAGCAGGATCACCTAGACTGGGATCCACACTATTATGTGGATGCAAAGCTATATGAAGCCCATATGGGTCAAATACTCCCTCAGTTAATGTGTTTGGGAGTCCAGTTTGTCTCACTGTATCTGATGCAAAGGGCTCATCTCTTCCATCTAAATGTGATGCATCCACTGAGCTGCTCTGGCAACAGGGAACTTGCTGCTGGCCTCAAGGAGCAAAAGCAGGGACATGCTGGCTCTGAAGTCATTCAGAGGGCTGAGCCTGGAGGGTAGAAGTTAATAAGGAAAGATTATAGCTCCATAACGCAGCCACACAATGAGAAGAAGCAATTAGAATGTAAATGGGAGGCTGAAATGCAGAAATAACAGAAGAAACCAGGCAAAGGAATCTGTTCTGTAATTACACTGTACAGTGTACAACTTTGACTCCCTTCAGGGTACTTTGTTCAGGTCGAGTGCTGCCATATAATGCCCTGCCTACAATCTAGAGCTAAGAAAATGAAAGGACGGCTAGGCTGAACCTGGATTAAAGGACTGGAAGCATGAAGAGAAGTTAGAGAAGCATGATCTGTGTAGTTCACAGGCTGCCTGATAAGGAAGATGAGGCTGAAATGCGCAGATCTCATTAATGCCATATTGAATGCCAGAGGATATTTGTACATAATAAATCCCTTATTATTATTAAATAGATAAAAGAGTTGGGGGCATGAAATATAGAGGGTTTTTCCCCTCACCAAGACAATAAATGCCTGAACCATAAACAAAGTTAGCAGGCAACATCCATCCGTTTTCCTTTGGGAACAGACATTTGGAGCTGAGGACAGTGGTGACATGAGCTCAAGAGCAGTTGGTCTAGGCAAATGCTAGGGCAAAAGTGATGTGTCGTATCTGATCTCTGGCATCCACTGGAGCACCTCCTGCTCTACGTGTCTCTTCCACCCCTGCAAAGCCTGACCTGGGTGCACACAGTCCTTGAGGCAGACCCTGGCTCTGTCGTATCCTGGGTTGCTCTTAGGTACTGAACCAGTCCGTGGCCAGCTCAGTGCCCTGGTGCTGTGCAGTCTGTGGCTGTTGACCAGCAAGCTTTGAGGATGCCTCAGCAGTTCACATGCAGAGCTGCTCAAATCTGAGAGGCCTTGCTCCTAAGGGAGAGGGCACTGGAGCTCCATCACATCACTGCTTGTCTGTGGATCCTTGCTGATCTCCTCTCCCAGGTCATTCCACATGTGAAGGAGAGCAACTTCACCCTCTCCTGTTTGTTCTGTTGGGCAGCCACTGTGCTGCCCAGCACCAGATCAGCATGGGCTGCAGAGCAAAGCACCTGCGAGTGCCTTAGTGAGGCATTCCTCTAATTCCTGCTCTAATGTCTGGAGTGCTGGGGCAGGATTCATTTCACTGCATGCTGGTGTGAGATGCTAGAGGTATTGCCGCCTGAGCTGGTCAACGTGCACTCCCTTGATAGTGGAGAGGAAGTCATTGACTCCAGGTGAGTTCAGAGCACGATGGATCTTACACTGCAAGAGGCTTCTATTTCTGCCTGGGTGAATGAATCACACTTTGAAGCCTATTTGCACCACTGAGTGTAAAAAGAGCCCCAAGGGGCCACTTTGAAGAATGAAATGTCTAATAGAGATGTTCGAAATCAGGCGAGATGAGTCCAGCTGTGATGAGTAAAGGACCTGTTTTGTCTTCTTTGTTTTTAATTCCATCTTTCAGCCTGGTCATCAGTCTCTCCATCTTTCTCCTTCCTCTTCCACCTCTCTTCATTGTGCACTTTATTGTTGCTTCACAGCCTGTTTCAGAGCACAGCTTAGTACTGAAGCATACTAAGAAAGAGAAAATTTCCTCTAGAGAGCGGGGAGAAATTCTTGGGGCACAGGAGTGGAAAGAAGATGGATATGATACAGAATTTACTGATCTTGACTGCATTTCCTTGAAAGACCCCATCAGAGTGGCAGCCAACGTGTTTAGCCCAATTACATGTGCAGAAATGAGAGCATGAACACAAAGACCCCAGGGCAGGTGATATCTTTGCAGCCATAGTGAGGAATAGTTTTGATCACACTCCAGAGACTTGGGTTTTTGCTTTCTTGTTTCCAGTCTGAGGCAGCAGTGAGCAGCCCAGGAGGAGATTGGCCCTCTCTGCAGTGGGAGGAAAACATATGTAAAGATTGTAATGAGATCATTAGATACAGAGGAGCTGAGCATAGCTTGAAAAACAGAGTACTTAACAGTAAGGAAAAGGGCAGCCACCTGTGGTGCAGAAAGAGGCAGTAAGGCAAAAGAAGGATAAATGTTTGTTACACCTCCTTTCATTTCGAAAGCAAATTGCACAAGTCGGGCTTGCACAAGGAGCACTGCAGCTCCAGCTGATTGGGAGACATTTCTCGAGGTGTCCTGATAAGCATCAATGTCACCGGTGCACAGAAAAAGCCGCTGTCATTTCGGCCACATCTGGGGAGGTGATAGGTTGCAAGTCCAAAGCTTTCAAGGTACTGTGCCATCTCACTGAAAACTGCTTAAAAGCCACAGAGAATGGAGTAGGTCGGTGTCACCTTAGTTAAGGGAACCATCAATTAATGCTGAGCAGATGGCCACTGTTTCCCCTTCTTTGTGCTTTAAGCAATATTCTCTTTCGCTTCTAACACCTCCCTGTCTCTTGCCCCACAGCTGACAACGAGAACAATATTGCCTCTAGCCAGCCCCGATCACCTCTAGCTGTTGTTGAAGAAAAGTGGAAACCACAGCTCCAAAGAAATAACGCCAACAATAGTACGTAGCGGTGTTTGCTCTTCTGTCCCGGGCTACCTGTCCGCTTTGAGCTGTCAGAGAGGGTGCAGCAGTGATGGGCATTGCACGGGGCCTAACTGCACTTGATTTCATCCAGAATTCAGGTACCGTCCTGCAGAGCACAGCACCCGTCCCCATTACAGGATGTCCTGAGGAGGCAGTGGGAGAGGTTTTGTAAGGAAGAGGCATTTGGGAACTGCTAGGAAGAAGTTAACTTCTGATCCAAGGTTCGAGTTCCTCACCTGGGGTTAAAGGATCAATCCAGTTGTCGTGGTGTGGCATAGACATAACCTGTCACTCCCTGTGCTGGCAGTGTCTGGCTTCATCCCCAGCTCGTCCTGTGAGCTCGTGCTTCACCACGGGAAAAGGTGAAACACATCCCTGTGGGAAAGCAGTTCCAAAGCACTTGAGCTGAGCAGCCTGGGGAAAGGGTGATACAAAGCCATGGTGTGTTTGTGTCCCGATACGGCCAGAAATGACATTCACATTGCCTGAAATCAGCCACAAAAAGTGGGGTTCCTGGAGTTTAGAGGAAGGGATGGAAACGTGGGTTTCAGCACTGTTTGAGGTGGTGGAGGAAGCAACTCCTCTTACAATAACTGTCTCAAAGAAAAGGCTCACAGCGCAGAAATGGAAAGATGTCCAGCTTTCCAGCTGAGCTAAGCTATGACCATAGACAGAGATAGTGAATGGCACAAGTGATTGTAACTTATCTCAGCAGTTCCTCAATGAACTCAGAGATGTTGGTTAAGGCACTGGGTTGTGAGTAGATGGTGTGTGCTCTGCCTTAGTCCCCACACCAGGGAAAGCCTGCAGATACCTCCTTGCTGCTCTAAGCAAGAGCAAGGCCTGTCCCTGGAGGTTCCTCTGCCCAGAAAGCCTTGGGGGAAGAAATCCAGGCTTGGAGATGTCTCTGCCATGATCTAAGCATGTTCCACCTCTTTGGGTCTCTCTCAGAATTGTTTTGTGACTTCCTCCTCTCTCCCATTGCAGAGGAGCGGTTCTCATCTGGTGCTTTCTCTCCCCCCTTCTGTTTCACTGCAGCATCCGCGAGTGGTTCAGTAGGGAACAGCGCGATCCCAGAGAAGGAGCGGCAGAACATTGCCGAGAGGCTCCTGAGGGTGATGTGCACTGACCTCGGGGCCCTGAGCGTGGTGAGCGGGAAGGAGTTCATCAAGCTAGCGCAGACCCTGGTGGATAGCGGAGCTCGCTATGGTGCCTTCTCTGTCACCGAAATCCTGGGCAATTTCAACACGCTGGCTCTGAAGCATTTGCCTCGGATGTACAACCAAGTGAAGGTGAAAGTCACCTGCGCCCTGGGCAGCAACGCTTGCCTCGGCATCGGTGTCACTTGCCACTCGCAGAGCATCGGCCCCGATTCCTGCTACATCCTGACAGCGTATCAGGTGGAAGGCAACCACATCAAGAGTTACGTCCTAGGAATTAAGGGCGTAGACATTCGAGATAACGGTGATTTTATCCACCACTGGGTGCAGAACGTGCTCTCGGAGTTTGTCATGTCGGAGATCAGGACGGTGTACGTCACGGACTGCAAAGTCAATTCCTCTGCGTTCTCCAAGGCAGGCATGTGCTTGCGGTGTTCGGCCTGTGCCTTGAACTCGGTAGTGCAGAGCGTGCTGAATAAGCGAACGCTACAGGCTCGCAACATGCACGAAGTGATCGAGCTCCTGAATGTCTGTGAAGATCTGGCGGGATCCACAGGCCTCTCGAAGGAGACCTTTGGCTCCCTGGAAGAGACCTCGCCCCCGCCTTGCTGGAACTCGGTCACCGACTCCCTCCTGCTCGTCCACGAGCGCTACGAGCAGATCTGCGAGTTCTACAGCAGGGCCAAGAAGATGAACCTCATCCAAAACCTGAACAAGCACCTGCTCAGCAACCTGGCAGCCATTCTGGCGCCGGTGAAGCAGGCGGTGATCGAGTTGAGCAACGAGAGCCGGCCCACCTTGCAGCTGGTACTGCCCACCTACGTCAAACTGGAGAAACTCTTCACTTCCAAAGCTAACGACGCTGGCGTAGTCAGCAAACTCTGCCACCTCTTCTTGGAGGCGCTGAAGGAGAACTTCAAAGTTCACTCGGCGCACAAGGTAGCCATGATCTTAGACCCTCAGCAGAAGCTGCGGCCCGTCCCGCCGTACCAACACGAAGAGATCATTGGCAAGGTGTGCGAGTTGATCAACGAGGTGAAGGAGTCCTGGGCAGAAGAAACAGAATTTGAACCTTCAACCAAGAAGCCTCGGGCAGCAGGGGAAGCCACGACAGCTCAGGAAGAAGATTGGTTTGGGAAAAATGAAGTCTATGATTATTTGCAAGAACCTCTCTTCCAGGCCACCCCTGACCTGTTTCAGTACTGGTCGTGTGTTACCCAAAAGCATACAAAACTAGCCAAGCTAGCCTTTTGGCTCTTAGCAGTGCCTGCTGTTGGTGCCAGAAGCGAATGTGTAAATATGTGTGAGCAGGCTCTCTTGATCAAAAGGAGACGGCTACTCAGTCCAGAAGACATGAACAAACTCATGTTTTTGAAGTCCAACATGCTTTAAGACTGTCTTTTAATTAAAACAAAACTTTAAAACACTGTTCCAAACAAAGAAAAAAAAAAAAAAAGAATTTTAAGTTCTAAACACTGTGGACCTCATTATGAATGCCCCTGGAAACCAAGTGCTTTTTTATATATATATAAAAATATAAATATATAT